ATATGCATAAAGGAACTAAGAATTTTTTTCTTAAACTTTTCCTCATTTTCATTTCCTTTTAGGCCAACACAAGAACAGGATAAGGCTGATAAATTTCCTGGTCTTTAGGGGCATAAGACATTGGAGCAAAGAAACATTTTTAAGTCAGAATGTATGCACTATCAATAAATCTATCATACTACAACAGCTGCACATTTTCTATGCATCAAGGCATACAGCAATCTGACTAAAAGGCTAGGGGGAAATACTTGTGAATAACATAACACAGTTGGTATCTGCATTACCTCAACAAGACCACAGTCCTTCTGTGCTAGGTACTGTATGTACGCATAGTAAGAGAACCTGCAGGTCATGCTGAGCTTACCAGTTTAGACTGTTCATGAAACAAAGGGTTAGAGTGAAATTATTAATACCACCTCCTCAAAAGTGGGGGTCTAAGGCATTTATCCCTGTTACAAAATGGAAGTTTAATCTGAGGAAGATCACGAGCACATTGTTTAAAAGAAATACATATTATCACATTGTTTAAAGAGAATTTACATCAGCACAAAATGACATATTCCACCACCACCAAAAGAATGTTTAAATCAGCATTTATTACAGAAAGTTTATAATCTTATATATTAAGGTTTCTATAAAGATTAAGAAAAAGAGGATACATCAATCCAGCATATTGAGAATGATATATTTAACTAAGCACTGTGTTTGTTAAATAAAATTGATGGAAATCAATGCTTCCTATAGTGTCTTTACTACAAATGTACAAGAAATAGCTTTCTCTATCCTTTTGGAAAATTATTCTGAAGAGACAGTTCTGTCTCCTCTAGTCAGTGAGAACACCATCATTGATTTTTGTAGAAAAAGTAACAGGCTCTTGTACTCTCTATGGTATGTTAACAAAACTGTCTAAGACTGTAGTTTCTTTACAATGTATCACATCCTACATGAGTCCCCAAGGTTATAACTAACAGTGTAAAATATACACAGACTTAATGACTTCTGATCCTGACTCAGAACTCAGTTATACATATGCTGCTGGGAAACTCATTTTATTTCACTGTAGAAGACTGATTCTTTCTCTCTCAATGCAAGAACAAAAAGCATTGCTAGAATGTGTGTTTTTTTAAGTCTAAAAGTAAAAAGGCAAAATGGCTCAGAAAGAAGTACTAACCCCTGCCTCTTTCCCCCAACCCACAATTCATCTTTACCCACTGATAACAGTGGGAGGAGCACACCTGAACCAAATCCCCAGCTATTTAAAATCAGTATAGCTCATGAACTGTCCATGACTGACAAACTGCTGGACGGAAAACCCCACTGACTCTTTCACTTTCAAGGCAGCTCACTGACTAGCATCAGAAGACTAATGGAAATATATTCCAATACATTTCTAATTCACAGCAAATAGTTTAAATATTCTTTGTACTGTATACATGGATTACTTGAAAATATTCGCAACAGAAGGGAGTCCAGATCAGTTGCTTTAACACAACCCAGTGGAGTCACACAGTCAGAAACATCGCATCACCCAGTCACCCCAGCTTGTAATTGCTCTGCAAACGTTACTCGGAGTTCTGGAGGACATAGAGGCATGGAACATTGTGAAACAAGAGGCGAGCCATTGGAGCAGAGAAGCTATAAATCAGACTTGCTGGGCAGATGGCACTGCAAGCTAGCAAGCCGATGGCAGATGGAAGTAAGAGCTTGGATAAGGCAAAAAAATTGGTTTTGCAAACTAATGAGATCTGTTAAGATGCTAGAGACAACTACTCTCCCTTTCTGATAGTTCTGCTTTAAGTGAGGGTCAGATCAACCCCTCCTCCCACAGACATTTACACAGGAAAAGTTTTCAGAGCCATGAAGGAAAGGTAGCTTGGTTTCCTTCAAAGAGGGATACCCACAGCAGCCATCCAGGAATTTACTCAACATGAAATAAGAATAAAATTCATAATTCAAAAATCCCATAATTCAAAAATCTCACAGAATTTTTGAAGTCCAGAGTCTTCTACATACAATCTATAAACCCTCCAGCCTGGCTTCAGGACAATATAAAGACTTGTATCTTCTCATGGCAAAGGAGATTCCAACAAAGAGGAAGTTTCAAGACAGGAAGGATCTTTAATGGAAAAATGCTACACAACCCATTAACTTTGGTGAGGATTTTAGTCCAGACTAGAACTTCATTCTCACAAATGCTCCACCTCCTTCCTGCAGCTGACGTACAGCCCCTTTGCTGCTGTTATAAGATAGGTAGTATCCTGTAGCTTCTTATGACTGCAGAATAGTTACTATGAGGAAAAATGTGTAGCACCTCCTAAGATATTCATGAATATCACTCTCTCTAACCCCCAAATGTTAGAAAACCTTTTCTCCTCTACTTATATATATATATATATATATATATACACACACACACACACACACACACATGCACTCACACATATATATATATATATTTTTTCCTTTCCTTTGTCAAAGCCTTGGGGTTCTTTTTTAAAGCAGTATTTCCAAGACTTCCAAGTTTTTTCTGTTCTGATACAATGGCCCCAGAAGCATTAATAATGTTTCCAAAAGAACACAATACCAAAAAATCTACTTCAGTAAATTACACAATCTCAGTGTAAGCCGTGTGAGCTTCTAGCAGATAGCAGCTTCCACAAGCTTCTAACATTGCTTCTAGAAGCTTATGGAGGTTTTTCTCCCAAGATATATTACCAAGGGTGAGTCTTTCTTACCATTTTTGTAAACTGCAAGGATCTCATGGTCTTACAAATTTCTATAGCTGCAATTTCTGACAACTTGGGATTATTTTTTTATTTGCATGTAAGAAAAGGGGGTAAAGTGGTAAATAAATTAACTTTGTTGAAAGCCTTTAGGAAAAGGGAAGGAAAGCTACAGACTTGTGTGGGAAGCTAATAAAGAGGGAGCACAGCAATAGCACTGCAATGACACAACGGATTAACAGGCTCTCAGCAAGAACTTGCATTTTATTATGAAGTTCTTGTATCCTAAACACACACAGAAAAACATCCACATAACATAAGAAAACTGCTATATACCATATACACACCCATGCGTTTGTAGGGCCCCTAGTGCTTACGGCAGATACAGAAATGACACAAGCACGAATAAGTACTTCTCATAAAGGAGCCTACAGAGACCACGTATTCATACAACATAGATACATATTAACTATCTGTTCTTAAGGTTTAAAAAACAGAGTGAAAAACCAAAAATCCCAACCTAGAAATAAAGTCCAGCCATTTAAAGTGTTTGACAGCACATTCCTGAGATTTTCATTACACTGGGATAAGTATATGACTGAAAGCTTGCATATTCCAACAGAGAATCCACACTCTCTCACCAATTTTCTATGCAATCTTGATCAAGTCTCATGACCTTTCCTGGGACTACTTTTTCCAGATGTAGTCACGGGGTTACACAAGCTACATTCCCATGGAAATGAGCTATGATACTTGCTCCTTTTTGATAGGTTTTAGGTCATTGTACCTTCTTCTCAATTCGAGGCAAATCTCAATCTTTGGCTACTGGAGGAGAAAAACAAATAAACAAAAAAAAACACCAGGAAAAAACCCCAAAACCCAACCAAATCTGAAGAAGCAGAAAATTTTTACTGAGCAGTAACAACCATGGGTTCTTATAGACCCATTCGGGTCCAACAAACATAAATTTCAGATATTTTCAGCTCTCTTTATTTGCAGATATCTTACATCTAGCCACTCTTGCAGCATCTAAATCCCCCCTTCAGCTGCAGAAGATACACAGAGATAAGTTGTACATAACTGTAGAATAACAGGAAGTGACTAAAAAAATGCTACAATTGCAATCCTGTGACACATTTGATCTGTAAATCTATGTTCTAACAGAAGAAACACCTTTAAAAAGAAAGGATAACTCCAGTACTGTGACTAGAAATCACTAATTTAATGCAAGTCTTAAAATATTTTTCTTAAAACCTCAGCATCCTAAGGCATATTGGGGCCTCTCTTGTGGTTACAGAGAAAAGTACACTTCAATGACCCAAATTTCAGAAAACATATCAAAATGACCGGACTGTATTTTTTTATTCCAATTGTTCTTACAATTTTAAAGGAATGAAAGGAGCTGAGCTACTGCTCCAAACTCTTCAAACTTCTTCTGGGGCTGACAGTATTCCAAAAGTCATGATGTCACTGTTATCAAGAAGGCACAGATTCGGCTGTCAATAAGGACTTGATCAGAGAGTCATATTTAAAAAAAAAAAAAAAAATCTGAACTTTAAATTAATTTGGCTAGTGCCACTGGCAAAATGTCTCATCTCCCACACACTGTAAACCACAGAGAGGCAAGGAGAGAGAGAAAGGAAATACACACTGGAAAGACAGATGGGAAGATGAAAGCATTGTGGACTAACACTGATATTAAAATGCGTCATCTATCCCTGCCCTCAATCAATTATTATTGCCTGGCTAGGCTAGATATCCTGAAGTAAAATGAATTCCAGGGTTTCCATATTACTTACCTCATCATCCCCCTCCACACAATATAAATTCCTACTCTGAATACACAGTTTATCATTAAACTAGCAAAACATGATTAAATATATAATGGTAATGAACACAAATGACTGTGCTCAGATGGTATCTCAAACACTGCATCTTTCGCTCCCCATAGTTTCAAGAAGAGGACACCTCTCATTTAGCAGTACAATATACACAGCATCAGACAGGTAGGAATAATCACCAAAAGAAATAAAATTAGAGAAACCAAATTGTCAGCACAAGTTTCATAATGATGCCAAAACATCCTTATATCTGAACATTAACTTTTAATGGCATAAGATGGCACAATAAACCTTATTCTACACAGAACAGTCTTGCTTCTTTTTCATGTTTGACACTTTTACATTTACCCTAATACATCACGGCATCTTGGTCATGACAGCACTGTGAACTACATCTCAAGAGCTTGTAAGACATGGCAAAGTCTTCCCATCTTACCTGGTTCTGTACAGTTCTTTTCTTCATGTGTCCCATTAGGTGATGCCATCAACCTTCTATTCCTCCACATTTCTGACGAAACACGTCTGTCTACAACAGTTGATTCTCGGCCTATATTAAATAGAAAGAGGTTATGCCCACTGTCACTAATTTTTTCATGCATCATCTTAACTGGACTATGTCCCCTCACCCGCAAGGAGCATGGACAGACCATCAGTACATGAATGCAGCAAAAGCATGTATGACTGGGGCATGTGCCAACATACTTACAGTAGGTGGTCCTAGAGACATGAAACTAGCTACTGCAGTATAAGAGTTGTTCACATGTTCCAGCTATCAGAATACCTGGCTGTGACCCACAACGGGAAAATATTCTGCAACAAGCAACTGCTGAAGCCTGCACCTGTGAAACTCAACACTTAACAGTTCCAGTAGATTAAACCAGCCCAGCTATGCTGACATGAGCAACAATCACACTTCCATTTAGTCATCTGCACTTGCACATACTACATTACTGATTTCTCAAAAAACAAAAATGCATATGGACATATTCCAGTTACATTTTGGTTTATTCTGAGTATAGGGGCTGATCTTTTCAGTGTTGGGTATACTTGATAATACCAATCCCTAAAATAATTTGTCAAAGAAAATGGAAAATAACTGCACTGTGAATTCCCACAAGCTTTAAGAAAAACAAACTTCTTTAGAAGCCAATGAGCTTTTGCCTAAACTCGTATTCCAGAAGCATTCTCAATAGAATTTGCTGAATAGAGTACAGAAGGAGCACTTGTGATAATGCAAAGTATGCAATTATAATAATCAAAGGAAGAATAGAACCTCTTAATTAAATCACTTCCATCTCAACCTTATCCATTTCAAATGAACATATTATAGTAACAAAACTTCTTCCACCGCTGATCTTGGAACTTATATTCAGTCATCACATAATGCTTGTGCTTTGTTACAGTGACTCTTGCAAAAAAAGCTTGAAAGTTAGTTTGGCTAGAATATTTGCTAAAATATTCTGATGCCACACTTATAAGAAACATAGAGAACAGATGGTCAGTGTTTATGGATACAATCTACTGTAAATTAGCCAGCTGAAAAAAAAATACCTGATGCAGCATACCATCAAAAATTAGGTTATGAGAGATTTAGCTGATAACCCAGGAGATTAAAAACTTTCATTAGTCATGACATTTTTCATGTAAACCTAAAGAAGTTCTGGAAAACTGTTAATCTGTAGCAAAAAAAAGACCCCTCAAACTACATAAATATAATCATACCCCAATTACTTGCTTTCACAAACCAGTAAATTTATGAAAATAAATAGCTGATGCAAGGAAAAAAAAAAAAAAAAAAAGCATAGGCATGACAAACAGTTCTAAATAAAGAAAGCAACAGTATACTCTAAAACCACAATTTTTAAAAAAATTAAAGTTCTAAGATGAGCAATATGGTAATATGGTTTAAGACACTGAATTCTTATATGGATGGCTTGTTGCCATCCTAGATATATCTCAAACAACCCAGGCAATAATTTGAGCACAAGAGCGTCAGAAAGTATGACAAGTTCCACCAGATTTTTCTTCCCTAAAGCATACATTCTGCTGAAGTCTGATTTTCTTATATCAAATGTGGACGTAGGACCTGGGCTTCGTTTGATTTTGTTCTTAATTCCTCAAGGACTGTTGGCAGTCCTACCTAGAGACCCATGTGCTGCCCCAGCAACCTTAGACTTCGTATCTGAGGGATGCAAAGCATATTGCAGGAAGAGGGCCTGAAGCTGCACACTTGCAGCCCAAACTGTGCCAGCAGGCGGGAAAAAAAAACACGAATGGGAATGATGTGGTTAATTATAAATGTATCGGTTTACCGAGACGGCACTTGCACAGAGGATGCAACAGACTCCCTATAAAACCCGAGATTAGCACTGCTTCTTGCCTAAAATACAGAATTTTCTGTCGAATCCACACTGTAATTG